TTTTCATATGGGCTGTATGATTGTGTCTGTTAAACTTCTTAGATATGATACACTGTGGTTATATAGGAATATATCCTTAGGAGATAACATGTTGAATTAAGTAGGGTTCAGTGTCATGATGTCTGCAATTTATATTTAAATGTTCAAAGAGACCGAGCAAATGCAAAATGTGGGTAATCGTTATAGCATTCTTTCAGTTTTTCTTAAGTTTGAACCTTTTCAAAATTAAAAGCTGGAGGAGGAAAAAAATCACTAATGAATATATATACCTGTTTGTACATGTAAATAAATTCCGGGGGAGGAAATCTGGAAGCCTTACACACTTACATTTTATTACTTCCTAAAGTATGAGGTTTTTGCCTATGAGGAGCAGAGCAGGCTTGGGAAGGGGTGGGGGGGGACTATGGTTTTGTTATGTCTATAATTTTGAATCAAGTTTTAAAATGGAAACATGAACTGTAAAAATATTTTTAATGGAAGCGTATTCATTGTAAAAAGAATTCTGTAGATCTATTTGAACCTATGTCTGCATAGTATGAGTGAATACTGTTTGATGAGTTCAGTATTAAAAACCAAGACTGTACCTGAAAAAGAAATCTGTCCCATAAAGACCTTCCACAACTCAGTAAGAATGAAACAGCAGTAGAAAAATGGAATAGGGAGATAAATAGAAGGTGAGATATAAACGGCTAATAAACATACGATGGTGAACCTCACTGGTTGTCAAAAATGCAGACCAAAGAAGATGCCCCATTTTTTGCCATTAGGCTGAAATTTTAAAGATTACTAATGTAGCATTGGCCATGATGTAGGTAAACATAGTCTTATCATCTGTAGTTGGCAGAAATTTAAATTGGTACTGTTTTTGTGGAGGGCATTCCTAATCAGTATTTAACTTAATAATAACCAGTGAGATCTTTTTCTGAAAATCTGTCCCATGGAAATCCTTGAACAAGTGCATGAAGATATCATAGAAAAATACTCCTGTAATATTTATAATGTCAGAAATCTGCAAACACTCAAAATACTTAGCATTCAGGAAATACTTACTAATAGGTAAAAACCACAAGTCAGAATTTAAATATACCTCCATTAGTAGCTAAAAACAAACAGCAACCAAAAAGTCCTTGGTGTGATGCATAGAGATCCAGAGGGCTACGCATCAAAGGATGTTGAGTTCTGGGGAGTGGATGAGATTCAGCTGGTGGTAAAGGACATTTGCACTCTGTGAAGGGGCTTATGTTGCTTGAGTTCCCTTTTTTTTCTCAATTGAAAAAAGAAGCAATTGATGCAGAGGTTTTTAGGGTTAGGAAAAGAATATTAGAAAATCGTGCTGTCTATTCTGACATGAACTATAAACTGTCAAATCAGCAGTTCTGTGGTATTGCTAATTTCATTCTTCGTAGTATTAAAACTTCCTAATTCCTGTAGCTTTCATTTTTGTAGTACCCATGTTGTTGTAAATGATATGATGTGTTCATTCTTTAACCCTTTCTTTAAAATTATAAAACATATACATACAGAAGATATGTAGTATACATGTACATTTTAAAGAATAATAAATAAAATGAACGTCTATGTAACTCTTCACCCAGCGTAAGAAAACAGAGCAGCATAATGACCAGAACTGTCCCGAGTCTTCCCAGCAGCATCCTCTTCTTTCCTTATCAGCCGTACCCACAGCCCATCACTGTCCTAAATTTCAGCCTCATCATTGCTCTGTTTTTATTTAGAATTTTACCCTGTGTCCCATGTTGTTTCACTTCACCTGAATGGATTCACGTACATAGTTTTAAGCACTCTCTTTTTTGCCCTGATACATTGTTGTTGAGATTCAGCACTGTTGATACCTATGGCTGTCCTGTGTTCCTTTTCACAGTTGAATAGTCTTCCATTTTATGAATCTGCCATAATGTGTTCATCGTTCTCCTGATGGATCTTTGGGTGCTTCCCGGGTTTTTGCTTTATCTAACAAGGCTACTATGAATACTTTTGTGCATTTGTTCTCTAGGTTACATACCTAGGAGTGCAACTGTTCACCCTTCCAAGAAAGTGCCAAATTTATTCACACTCTCCCCAGTAGCATAACGAGTCTTCTCATCATTCCACATCCTTACCCACTTGTATTGTCAAGCTTTCTAATTTTGGCTAATCTGCTAAGTATGAAATGTTACCTCATGATTTTAATGTATATACCCCTAATTACTTACTGAGTTTGAAGGTTTTTTTCATGTTTATAGGTCACTTATGTTTCTTCTTTAAAATGCCTGGATAAATATTTTCCCTATTGGATGGTGTCTTTTCTTGCTAATTAGGAAAAGTTCTTTATATATTCCGGATACTAATCTATCAGCAGTTATGTGTTACAGATATCTTCTTCCAGTTCAATTTGCTTTTTTCACTCTCTTTGTGGTGTCTTTTAAAGAATAGTTCTTAATTTTAAAGTAATAAAATTTATCTTCCTTTGTGCTTAATACATTCTGTGTCATGTTTTAAAATTTTTTCTCTAAACTGAGATGATCAGGATATTCTCCTAATGGATTTAAAGTTTTGCAGTTTGCTTTAAAATTGTTGATCCACCTGGAGTCAGACAGGTGTGTGTGAGAGATGTGGTATGAGTAGGCATTCATTTGGATTCTCCTGCATGGATGATTAATTTTCCCAGCACCATTTATTCATTCTTCCTTCTTCCTTCACCAGTCTGCAGAGCCCACTCTTGTTGTATGAGTTTGCATCTATAGGCACAGATTGCTTTCTAGACTTCCGTTGCCCTCTCAGTCTGTCCTTGTCCCGGTAGCTCATGGTCTCAATTACTGTAGATTTACAAGTCTTGGTGGTAGCAGGGCAAGTCCTGCCTAATTCTTCTTCAGGAGTGTCTTGGCTATTTCTGGTCCTTCGCTCTTACATATAAATTTTAGAGTCAGCTTCTCAAGTTCCACATAAAACCTTACTGGAATTTTTATTGAAATGACACTGAACCTGTAGATCATTGTAGGGAGAACTGACATCTTTACAACACTGAACCCTTTTCCTCATCTCATGGTATTTCTCTGTTGATTTAGTTCTTCTTGAATGTCTTTAAACTGTTCCACTTTCCTGTATGTCTTTTGTTAACATATATCCCTAGGTACCTTTCTTATAAGTGACTGTTAGATTTCTAATGTATAAACTTGCAGTTGATTCTTATATTGATCATCCTTGCTAATCTTTCTTATTGACTGGTGGATTTTCTGTGTAGAGAATATCCTCTGTGAGTAACGGCAGTTTTATTTCTTCCTCACCTTTATACCTTTTATTTCTTTTTTGTTGTCCTGTTGGACTGCCTACGTCCTCCAATGCAGTGTCCAGTGGAAGTAGCTGTGATGGGCATCCTTGTCATGAAACTGATTTTGAAATGTTTTTTGCATTTCACCCCTAAGTAGGTGTTGCAGCGTGTTGGTTTGGTTTTTGTTTTCTTTTTTTCCCGCTTCGTCTGTTCAGGTTTTGTATGGCATTTTTTGTTGTTTGTTTGATAGACACTCTTTTTGAATTGGGAAATTCCCTTCCATTCCTAGTCTACCACAAATATGCATTATATTTTAGCAAATACTTTCATTTTACATCAACTGGGTTGGTCAAATTTTTTTTTTAATCTGCTAATATGGTGATTTACTCTAATAATTTTTCTAAAGTTGAAGCTTTCTTTCTTGAAATAAACCCAGCTTAGTTGATTAGTTGATTTCATTAACCAGCTTCATATTCCTAGGGTAAATCCAGTTTGGTCATCACTTATCAGTTTTTTTATACACTGCTACGTTCAGTTTGCCAATATTATTTTATATTTTTTCATTTATGTTCATGAGTGTGATTAACATAAATTTCCTGTTGTTCTATAAAGCCCTTTTTTATTACTAAAATGTAACTTTATTAAAAAAAGAATAACTAGAAAAGTAACAAGTATGCTAAGAACCTTTTTTGAGAAATACAAGTAAGAATATATTTCTAAGAATTGTGATGACACTGCTGATTTATTAAATTATCAGTTTTATCAGTTTAAGGTAACACCCCTATTACATTATCCACCCTAAATGTATACAATGTTGTATGTCAGTTATATTCAGTAAAGCTGGGAGGAGGGAGGATAACACCTCTATTAAAATGCAAGTGTGTTTCCTGTAAGGAAGGGATGAGGTGTAGCACGGTAACAGAAAAAATAACATAGACAAACTTACCATATCCACTAACAGATCATGGTCTTCGGGAATGGACACTAGGACAGTTAGCTTTTGATGAAGAGCTGAAGCTGATAAAGACACGGGAAGTTGAAGACTATCTAATGACAGCATGCCTAGATGGAATCTAGTAGTTAGAGGCCCCGAGCAGACCTGACCAGCAAGAAATCTCGTCTCTCACTAGGAGAAATTGAAAATATGCTAACACTTAATTTTTACTTAGGATGAGCGATTAATTTTGTGTTTCCATGATCTTTTTATCTCTCAGTTCAAATCAACATCAAATAAGAACGTATCTGTAGTAGGATGGATGGTGATGATGGCTGATGACCCGGAACATCCAGATCTCTTCTTGTTGACTGACTCTGAGAAAGGTGAGTCATTAAAGTAACTAGGGTTTTTAAGGCAGTGCATATACACAGCTTTGGGTAAGCCAAAGTTCAGTTTAACTGGAATGCTTGACTGCAGGGCATTGTTTGTGTAGTTTTATCTCTTGGGAACTATTTCTATCACATACATATATAGTAATGACAGCAATATTTTTAGATACCAATATCTGTTAGTTGCTTATTAAATATATTTCTTTGCTATGGTCATAAGCTTGAAATTGAAAACCCAGATTATCCCTAGAGAGCTACTAACCAGGAGGGGAAGGAGGGAATTTGAGAATCTGTAGACCACTGTTACTTTTAAAATCTCAGATTTCCCATATATGCAGTACCCCTTATTTACACCCTGAAGTAAATTGTTATACTTAAGTTCTGAATGTGGCAGAAATTTTCCTTTAAGTGATTTTTTATTCCATTACTTTTAATTAAATGAATTGGTTATTAGACTCAAATCGCTCATTTTCCAAATAAGTATAATTTTAATACTTTGCTTACAGTATATAAAGACATTTATGAATGAAATTATTTCTGTTGGCCATAGGAGTTTCAAAGTGGATGAGAGAAATTGGAGGGTGGGCTGTGTAGATCAGATCATACCTCCTGACCCAGCTTGTGCCTGTAGTTGAGACCTCCTCAGTGGTCATCAGAACAGATCCCTACGTGATTGCAGGTCTTCCTTTATGACATCTGCCAGCTATTGATGAGCACCTCAGAGGAAGCCAGAGAGGAGATTCTTTTGCATCTGCCCAGAATCTTCACTTGAGCAACTCACTACTGAAATGATACTATATTACCGTCTATTGACTGCAGAATTATACTTTGACCTCTGTTTATTTAGAATGTATTTTATATCAATATTCTGCTTTTAGGATATTGTGATATTTTAAGTAAAACTTAAGTAAGCAAATATCCAGAAAAAAATTAGTGCAGAAAAAATATAGCAAAATGTTATGTTTTGAGATGAAATAGATTGATTTACAGAGTAAGAACTTCCTACTCAATGTTCTGAATTCAGAACCCTAGCATCCACCTTGCCAATCCCAAAGGCATTCACTGTTTATAAAAGTACATTTTAAAAGGAGATTATTTTCATGGGGCTTAGTTAACAAATTCTTTGTTTTCCTTCGATTCCTTAGTGTGCTTGATATTTCAGAGTAGCCAAGGGTTTTATGAAGTCTAGATGGACAGTCTTCTCCAGGGAGGGAGAGAGTGGATGAATGGCAGCTGTGGCCAGCTCGCCAGAAATGCCTGCTGTCTGGATTGGTCTGATGTTTGCCTCTGGGTTCAACAAGCAAAACAGTGTTATTTGAATAATTAAAAATTTGGTGAAGAAGAGTGTTGCTTCTGAAAGTGAAAAAGTCTTTGATTGTTAAAAATCTCAAAGAGCTGTATAATGCCTACATATGGATCAGACTCTTGAGCCGTTGAATGCGGTCAGAAAGGAAGGTGGAGAATTCAGTAAGAACTGGGAAATAAAGGGAACTCAGGTCAGTGAGAAAAGGGAACTAAGCTCAACTTAGGGCAACCTGTTCTACATGAGTCCTTTCTTCTTTTCTCAGCTTATTACCGTAATCCGTGTAAGCATATAAAATACCCTTATTATGTGTCAGTTTTGAATTAGAGTCAACATGAGGTCTAAATACATACAGCACAAATGAATTTCTAATCTTCAAAAAGAGAAAAAGGTGCCTCCTTAGATTTTCACATAAGCCCTCACTAGACCTGGACACTTCTGTAATAATTTTGACAAATGTAACGAAAAACTAAAAGCATAGGTTATATTGATGTTAGCTGATTAGTTCTTTATCACATTAAATAGCTCATGTTTAAGTGTTAAACGTGTTAAAGCATTTTAGCCTATAAAAACTTAATATAGATCATCTAAGTCGTGTTGAGAACTGATAATTTGCACTCTTATCCACACAGAGAAATTTAGAGAAGCCAGATGGTTATTTTATTTAGATATACTTTAAAGAGCGTTTAAGGAGTCAAATAAAATACTTCTCTTCCCATTCATTAACAGCAAAACAATGACTTTCTGAATAACTGGTAGCATGTGAATATAGCATAGAGAACTCTTCTTTTGTATTGGAAAAATCAGGTGTTAGAGAAATCGAATTCTGAAACTGAGAACGCTCATCGATTTTTTGTTTGTTTTGGTGGGGGGAGTGATTAGGTTTGTTTGTTTGTTTATTTTGATGGAGGTACTGGGCATTGAACCCAGGACCTTGTGCATGCTAAACATGCGCTCTACCACTTGAGCTATGCCCTCCCTCACTCGTCAATTTTTGTTTCCCTCTTGTTTTTGATGATTTTAGGAAATTCATACAAGTTTCAAGCTGGCAATAGGATGAATGCAATGCTGTGGTTTAAGCATTTGAGTGCAGCCTGCCAAAGTAACAAACAACAGGTAAGCATTTTTCCTAATCCTCAGAATAGTCCGTAAATTGGGAATATATTTAAGTGTTCCAAAGAGAAATAAGTAGGCTAATTTTCTGAATGAAGTAGAAAAACGGTATTGTTTATATTCTTTTTCTTGTTGGCCAGAGTCAGCAAGACTTGAAGTCCACATTTTTGTGAGGGAGATGGACAATAAACAAGTAAACAAATAACAGAATTTCAAATAGGGAAAACTATATGTAGATAGGACACCAAAAGCACAAGTACCAAAAGGAAAAAAATCAATAAATTGGATTTCATCAAAAAAAAAAACCTATATGAAGAAAACAAAATAGAATTATGTGATGTAGAGTGATGGGAGTAGAGACAACTTTAAATGAGGAAGAAAATTCCTCAAAGAGATGACAGTGTCATGGATGACAAGAAGAAACGGCCATGTGAGGATAAGGGGGAACAGAGTTCTGGTGGAGGGAACAGAAAGTGCAGACACCCTAAAGGTGGAACGAGCTTACGGTGCTCAAAATAAGGGCATGTAGACCATGTGGGTACAATGCAGTGAGAGGCAAGGGAGTGTAGCTCTTAAGGGGTAAAACTTAGATGGTACTTTAACAAAAATTCTGATTCATCTTTATTTGTTCTGTTGACATTTTATGTGGGTTCCTATGGTTGCAGTGAAAACCAAAACCGTTTGAGGTTTTTTTGTTTGTTTTTATTTTCTGAAACAAAGATGGTCTAACTCAAAGACTTTCAGCCGCAAAGGGGAATGAATCCATAAGGCTGTTTTCCCCAAACACTGTTGCAGATTTAAACTTGAACCATGAATTGGTAGGACAGATATGAGATAAACATGACTGCAGTTATAGAAGTTTCTAGATATTTTTAGGCCAGTTTTTAGTTGAATATATTTGAAAATTTTATTGCCTTAAGGTACTGAAATACAGAAGTATACAGTAAGTGATATCAGCAGCTAATTTTTGATGATATACTATGAAAGTTTATAAAGCTTATAAACATATTTTTCACCCTCTGCTATCAGGACCTAAGTTACTGCCTTTTTTTTTTTTAAATCAAAAAGAAGGAACTAGGGGTCAGAGATGCTAAATGACCTACACAGGATCAGATAAACAAAAAATGGTGGACCCGAGACACAAGCTCTGTCTTCCTCCTAAAGATCCATTCTTCGTAAATATTGTTGGAATGCGCCTCGTTCTCTGATAATTTTTATTTCAAATATATATGAAAGACTAATAGCAATACTTGGTACCATTTTTAGCAACATCCCTTAAGGACATGAAATACTATAGAGTAATAGTTACTTTTTCACTCTTGACAAGTTTTGACTGGGACAGAATGAAGGAAACAGACCTTCTTTTGCCTAGACCAAGCTCTTCAGGACTCAGCTCCATGCTGTACATTTTCTTTAATGTAGCTTAAAGTATTGGGTCATTTTTTTTTTCAGTCTCAGATTTCAAGATGAATCTAGACAATGTATGCATACCAGCAAAGAAGTTTAGTTTCTTTTACTGTATTAATGGACCTTCCCACTGAACAAGTCAACTAGCTGTGTATAAATGGGGTTTTTTTCATTTGTTTGTTTCTATATTTGGAAGAATCAGAGAAATAGCAAATGTATAAATAGCTGTGAAATTTGAAAGCTTTTGGCAGAAGACTCTAACTCAAATACAGCACCTTAAACCATATTCATGCAACTTAGGAGGAAATGAAAATTTTACTTTATTTAAATAGGGGTATCTTATACCCAGACCTGAGACTTTATACTTTAATTTAAGCACTTGAACATTTGTAGTGTATTAAATTTATAATCAGTTATGATTATATTGTCATAATTTTTCATTCAGAAGCTGATACATATAAGAGATTAATTTTTTATTTTTAGTATCCTATGTTTTCAGAAAAAGGGTTGCTAAAGTGTGAGAACTAAGCTCTTTTAAAAGATGGAGAAATGACCACTGATGGATGAGTATGTCTAACAGCACAACTTTGGAAAACTGGAAGTAAAAGTTAAAGGGCATTTTTTTTGAACATGGTGAAGTCCTCTTTAGTTCTTGACTACAGGACTCATCAACTAATTTTTAAAAACAAAATATATTCATATTTCTAAGAATTATCGTTGAATTTCAGACTTTAATTTGTTCCAATCTGTAGGCAGCAAACTATTGTATAACCTGTGGTTTTTTCAGTCACAAAACGTCAGATCACAGTTTATCTAACGATGAGTTTTACTCCTTTATACTTACTTTCATGATGAGTTCTTAGTAATGTTTATTATAAAATTACCTGTGCTGGGTTTTAAAATTTTTATGTAGGAATTCACTTTAATACACAGAATGAGAAAATAAATGATGACAAGCATGTTTGTCTGGAATCGCACCCTAATAGGGCCTAATACTTTTTTCTCATTCATTTACTCCCTCAGTGAACATCTCCTGAGCCCCCTGTGTTAGATGAGAAAGATACTGTCTCTGCCCTTTTTCCTGTCTGGATTTCAGTATAGTGAAGGGAATATTAACTCATCTCAGTGATTTTCTCTCAGAAATGTTCTAGCATATTGTTACTCATTATTCATAAACAATTACAATACCTTCTATCAAATTTTTTAGAAAGATGATCTGGGTGAGGAAGATTTTAATATTACGGCTTACTTAAAATGACAGGGGGAGGTAAGAAATAGTACTTTGAAGAACACCTTTTAAATACTATCAGTTTGTAATGCTTATATTTTTTAGGTTCCTACAAACTTGATGACTTTTGAGTAAAAGCCTGAGAAAGAACAAGGCGAACCGTTACCCTGAGTGAAAGTGAGGCCCTGACTGTAGAGCGCCAGCTGTAAACCAATCCAGTGCCAGGAGGAGCCGGAGGTTCCATCTCAGCCTCTCGCGTTCTGAACCAAAAAAGCACTAATTTCAGGGAATGAAGTGAGATATTCCCAGAGAACAAATTGGAGTTGCAAAACAAACTGCCATGGACCATGCTTCTTATCTCTGAACTGACCTGTGGAAACCACTGCCTTAAAAGAATGAAAGGAAAACCAACATGAAACACCAAATAGTGTGTGTGAATCTTCTGGCGGTGCTGTGCTTGGAATAGATCGTAGCTCATTTGCATTTCTTTTAACTTTGTACTAATTTTGGAGGGGGGAATCGCCTTTTTTAGACACACTTTAGAAGGAGAAACATACTTCTTATGGGTTACATCAGGAGCTGGTTTTGAACTGAGGTGGCAAGTTACTCCGACTGAGTAGGGTTCTACCAGCAGCCTCCCCGGGAGGCCTGTGGGAGCCTCCACGAGCCTGCAGCCTCACTCCCGTTCTCACAGCAAGAGTGTAGGAATTAGAAGCGTTAATGTGAGTTGTTCGGGTTTGTTTGGGATTTGGGGAGGGGGGTGTATTTTGTTTTGAATGGGGGGAGATTTTTTTTAAACACTAAACTTCTGAAATTTAGTACTGTATGAGGAACATTATTTCCTGCATTAGGTATAAAGGTTGAATGTTCATATGCCAGACTTTTTTTTCAGGTGGGCTCCAGAAAACATGGTTGTTTTTAACTGAGTTTAAAGCTTAGCCTTCTACATGAATTTGTTGTTGGACCACAGATCTGCTTCATAGAGAACTGTAATCCCAACCTGAACTTTTCTAAGAAGATTTTACAATGACTAACTACATTTTCAAGTTAGTCAGATTGTCTCATCTGCCACTCACGGGTGATGCTTGTCATCAAGGTGGTGTGTTGCTATTTTGTCAAGATATTTTCTTTTACAGTGTTTAATGTGCACAATGCCAGGGTTTTTTATTATTATTATTGATTTTCATTATTTTTTGTTCAACATGACATTCAGGATCACATTTGTTTAAGAGAGATCCCACATACGTTTGTATGCATGTACGTATTTTATTATAAGGCATACAGAATAAATTTCAAAGGGAGTAAGGTCAAAGATTGAGATCCTGGGAATTTTAAGTATCAAAACTAAATGTGTTCCTTCTTGCACAACTTTCCTTTATTACAAACATTTTTCTGAAAACGGTAGGTCCCTACCATGAAACCATACTTTGTCAGTAGTTGATCAAGCAGTTTTGTGAGAGCTCGTCTATGCAATAATGCATTTAACTTCCAAAATAAATGTGGAGTTAAAAACAAAATTTGAAGGTGAAATGCCTTAGAATTTGAACAAAAAAATGGCACTTGAACAAAGATTCTGTATTGGATGTTACAAACTCAGGAGGCATCCATCGTGAATGTTGGCCATGGCCCAGAGTAAGAAATGTTTTTTTGAACAACAACTTCTGGTAGACTTCTGTTACCAGTGGGCCTCACGTAAAATTTCTCAGATTTGTATCCTTAGAGAATTTTATACTCTTTTTGTCATACGTATTTTACCCATGAGTCCATGAAACTTAAATAGAAAATACTGCTTATTAGAATAGTTAGCTAAAAATCTGTCTATTGGGAAGTAGAAGAGCTTTCTCTCAGTGCTAAGTGTTTTAATTTAGTCTTCTGTTTGGAAAGGATTTAAAGAGTTCATATATTTTTCTCACGTAGCACAGTTAGAAATACCGTTATTCCTGGTTTTGTGGGAAGTGACATGAGCTGGCGAGGGCAGCGCGAGCCTGTGCCAGTGACTCGGGCTGCGGGCCTCCCGGCCCAGCCCGTGCTCGAGGGCGCCCCCTGCGCAGCCAGCCTAGCAGTGTTTCTCCGTACACCTTGCACAGCTGACCTTTGTTTCGCATTTTTTTTAATTTTCTTAATTTGTTTATTTCTCTTCAGAAATAAGTGGTTTTTTTAACAGTATATGTGCTTTTTAAAAATATTGTGGATAAGAACCCTGTGGATTTTTTATTATTTTGTCTGTTTGTCATAAATAAGCTACCGTAGATAAGTTGCAGGCTAACCGTGTCCGTAGAGATGCGCAGCTAGATGTCAGAGCCTGACAGCACAGTTTTGCCAAAGAGAGAGCTCAGCTGGGAGATGTGTTTGATGTTTCCAGCGCTAAACGTGAGGATGCTTGCACAGAGTGAGACTGGTGTTCAGGTTCGGTGAATAGTCCGTATGTGGATTGTGGCCTCTGACTGACTGAAACTCTTGCCCGTGCACCAGAAGTCACCGTTGTTTTTCTGTCTTCAGATTTGTCCCTTCAAAAATTGCTCATTGCTTTTGAAGATTACTTTAGCATTTGAAGCGAAGAGACCAGTGAGAGAAGTGAATTGAAATAGTGGATTTTACTCATGGTGATCTATCATTCACCAAATGATTCCTAATAATAATTCAAGCAAAAATAAATGGTACCAAAATATATTAACTATTTAGGTAGTTTATTCGTGGGAAAATGAAATTTTTCTCCTCTTATTCGGCCTACCCCTTAAAAAATTAGTAAATTAGTAATTCAAAAGCTTGAAACTTCTGTCATTACTAAGCTCATTTATTTCTCCGAGCGAAAAAGAACTCATTGGACATTCCATTATAATTTAAGTTTAAGCTGGTTTTTGATGAGCATAATGGTTGTGTTACCAGCCTAGTGTAGCAGTAGATTACCAGCCCAAACACAGTTTGAGGCACGTCTCATTTAATAGTTGATCTGAACATGAAAACTTACTTTTCACGCAGAAGTAACTTGACAGGTTTTAAAATATAACTATATAACGACCTTCAGGAGCACTATTTTTGGTTTTCTGCCCTCTCTGTGTTTGAACTCTGCTTATTTTTTTCAGAGGCATCATTTTTACTGTAACCTTCAAACTGTTGAGAATTTTTAAAACTGATCATATGCACCTTCCTATTACATTTTCTTCACTGTGTATGTATTATTTGTGTAAACATTACAGAAAGGGATCCAACAATTCGAGTTTGAGTATTTGTTTCTCCCCAGGCATGTGCTTCAGTGACAGATGTTCTCCTGTGTGGAAAAGGCCACGAGACTGGCACTGCCTTCTGTGTGGACTGTCTTGCTACTGAGTCTGTCTGTAGGTCAAGAACTAGGGTGTTTGTAGCTGCAAAGCTTTATGAATGGCTTTATTCCTCTCCTAGAAGATTTATAAAGGTGCCCAAGGTGCACTGTTCTAGAAGGAAAAATGTTTACAGTCTGCAGTGTATACACTCTATATATTAGCTGAAACCAGGGCCCTCTGAGAGCAGCCTGACCTGTTGCTCTCTTGGGGTTACTAGAATTTACCTGGCCAAATAATTTGAGCAGAAGTCTTTTTTTTCTTTTTTAAGGTTAAATCTGTAAGCTATATATGCCTTTACTACTGAAAACAAGACTATAGGACATCATATTAATTAGAAATCAATAGTAGTAGATTTAATCCATTAACTTTTTAAAAGAATATGATTTCCTTCCTGTTTTTTGAGGCACATTTCTTTACAGTGAGTTTTTAACTCCATTTTATCTTTTGCAAACTAGGGGTACCAGTGTTGCTTAACAGAAGATACTCTTCAATTTTAAAAACTCCTCAGCTTCAAAGCCTGTTGACATAGTTGGGTCCCTTTTTGAAAATGGGGATGAATTTGATGGTGTCCCAGTGGAATAGATAGTACTGTTACTGCATGACTAGGTGATGCCAAGCAGGTGGTGAGGCTTGTCTGACCTCTTCAGTGATCTTTTAGGGTTTGCTTTCATTTTCTCTCCTCTTTTGTAGTATTTCTTTCAAACATAGTAAATGTATGATTTTACAGCCGGAGTGGTATTCTGTTTTTTTCTAACAGTGTTACTTAATCACCTTGGTGATAATTATTTTCCCATGTGAAGTCAACCTTTTCAAAATGATTTAAGTACTTTTGGTTTTGCTCCCTTAAAAATGGCTTGTGTCTAAAGTTGACAGATTTTTTTTTTTCTATTTAGAGGAGTCTGATGAAAGAGATCTGTGCATTCAAACTATTGGGCTTTTGAAAGCAGTTTCATTACATCAGTATCTCAAGTAGTGTGGGGAAAATGTGGTCAGTGCCTTGTCAATTTGAAGACCAATTTTAGGGCATTGAGTACGACAGCAGTCATTTGCCCTCTTACTCCTCCTGTTTCAGGAGTATGTGCTATCCCTCTCACCACCAGCTTAGCCTTTCTCACAGCAAGTCTGAGAACGTGTACAGATAACTCTAGGTCGTTGTTGCAGATCAGCTTGGTTTTGAGTCTTTTTAGGCAAGCTCTGTCCCTGCTCCTCTCCTTCCAGGATAGATTAAAAATAAACCCACCCAAATCAGCTTTTAGATGAGCATTCTTCAGAACAACTTTGAAGAACATCCATCCAGCTGAGTTTATTTTTATTTTGTGTTACTGAAATTGTTTTGAACATAGATTTAATTATAAATCCATTTTAGAAAATCCCTGAAAGAATATGATACAGCCAGAAAGATTTGTTTGGGTTTTATTAAAGCTACTGAAATCCTGAAATGAGCATCCCCTTTGGCCAGAAATGAGATTTAGTTCGGTTCATTTTTGTATTTAAATAAGGCTCAGAACAAACAAGCAGTCACTTAGCCTACCTGTTATTGTTTACTTACAAATATTACGGCAGGAAAGTGAAAATAACTCTAAAATATAAAGTAAAGAGAAGTTAAGGGACTAAGCTAGCTTTCTCAGTAAAAACACAGCTTGGACGCGTTTCGCTTCTCCGAGATTGCTGCAGGCTCCGGAGCTAGTGTCATTCAGCTGAGCCAGGACACTGTTTTCACATTTTTTAAAGGGCTAGTATGTTCCAGAATAGGCAAGTAGATGTAGTCTTTAAAAGACAAATAAAGGGTTACCTGGTCCTTGAGGGTTATTAGTAGAATTTAAATTTTTAATCTAGTCATTTGGACTGCAAAGTAGTGATGAGATTAAAGGAACACATAGAGTCCTTTGGGATTGAACTTTTTTTAATAGACAAGCAGAAAATGTCATAATTAGCTGTGCTTTAGATACCAGGTAACAAATCTTCATTTTCCCCTGAAGGTATCACCTATTACAACTGTTCGCAGAGACAGTCCAGTAATCATTGACTTACTATGTCTGACAGAGTAGCTGATAAGAAGTCACCAGACTCTTGAGAGTTTCTACACCTTGACGCATCCTTTGTCTTACTGCCGACTGAAATGTGTATGTGTGGGGAGGGGGGCGGGGAACTCCTTCACAGCGTAATCTAAAGGAGATGAAAAACATCTGTGGGGGTAAATACCCAGTGATGACGATATACAGGAAAACGCAAGCCATTTTTACTCTCCTTTATCCCGGTTAACCTGAGGTACTAAGGATGCAACACTCATTTTGCACTATGACCTCCTGGAGTGACGTGCAGCTCGATTCCTCTCTCACTTTTTGTTTCTGTTTAATACGCAAATGTGAGTGTGAGCTCTTCAGTGTGTTTGCATAAGCTAACTTAAAATGAATTTAAGTACAGTTTTCTGAAATATTTCTATTGGAATAAATTACTTAAAAACAGATTGTCTGGGGATAATTTGTTTTCATATTTACACTTTTATCATTAACTTTTAAATAAATTCTCCAACTTGATTTTTGTTTCCCCTTTCTAAACTAGTCGGCAAGGTTTCTGTTGGTACAGGGAAGCTTCTGTCTGCATGAACTTCAGCTGCTCTTCTCTGTGCCAGAACAAAGATGTGCCCAGCCTGCTGACAGGTGGGACCTTGGGGAATGGAGGTCAAGGGTATTATTACCAACCGTATCTCCCACTCCGAGTATGTGACATGATGTGACCATTCCCCAGAGGCCCTCTTTGCTAATGCTGTATTTTATGGAGTCTAAAACATGATGCTTTTTCACATCTTA